CACCCCCTCCACCACCTCCACCACCTCCTCCTCCTCCTCGGCCTCCTCCTCCTCCTCCTCCTCCTCCTCCTCCTCCTCCTCCTCCTCGGCCTCCTCCTCCTCCTCCTTCTCCTCCTCCTCCCCTCCTCCTCCTCGGCCTCCTCCTCCTTCTCCTTCCTCCTCCTCGGCCTCCTCCTCCTCCTCCTCCTCCTCCTCCTCCTCCTCCTCCCCACCATCGTTTGGTTCGTGAATTGCGACTACAGGCGGTCCACGACCACTTCGGGCCAAAAAACCCAAACCAGAAAAAAACACCAGGAAATCTTGAAACCAAATCCTGGGGAGGGCGACATCCTGAAAAAAACTCAAACACCGAACCTGCGAAAAACTCAGACCCACAAAAACATAGGAACAACCCTGAAGCTCAAACCTGGGAAAAAACTCAAACCAAACAAAAACTCTGGAGAATCTCTAAGCCGAAACCTGGGAAAAACTCCGGAAACACTTTGGAAAAACTTGAAAAACTCTAAAACATATATATATATATATATATATAATATATATATAAAGCTCTGGAAAAAACAACTCTGGAAAAAACTTTGGAAAAACTCTAAACGACTGAAAACTCTAAAAAACAACTCTAGCAAAAACTCTGGAACAACTCTCAACGACTGAAAGCTCTAAAACAACTCTGGAAAAACTCTGGAAAAAACTCTGGAAAAAAACTGTTTACAAAACTCTAAAAAACATTCCGGGTTTGAGTGTTTTCCGGGTTTCCGCTTCAGTTTTTTTTTTTTTTTTGAAGGTTTGAGTTTTTTTTTTCCCACGTTTCGGCCCAAAGATTTCCTGTAGTTTCTTCTGTGTGTGAGTTTTCCCCAGGTTTTGTGTTTGAGATTCTCTCAGGTTGTCTTGGATTTTGAGTTTCCCATTCAAGATTCTTCAACATTTTTTTGGAGTTTGAGTTTCCGGCCGAAGATCTTTTGAAGATTTGGGCAGGATTTCCGCTGGACCGCCTGTAGTCAATTCACGAACCAAACACCATCGCACGATGATCAACCTGTCGGCTCTCACCTATCTAGGGCCCCGCCTCCCCAAGGACCGCAGCTCCGTAAGCATGTCCGTCGTTTTTCTCTATTAGCATCGCAACAGGCTGCCGCACCGCCAAGAACGCAGCAGCCGCCTTTTTGCATCCCACACTTGAGCGTATTCACGCCAATGATTCCCCACGTAGTTTAGTTGCCAATTGTGTCACTGATGGCAACTTTCGCATGGAAGGGGCCCGAAGGTTTTTCGTCCCAATCATGACTGAGGCTGCAGTGCAGTTGGCAGCTGATCTCAAGACCGACGGACTCAAGAAATTTCCCTAAGTCGGCTGTCATCGCATGCGATAGACCCCTTGATCTTGATCTCACAGCGGAATTGCGTAATCGGGGCATCCTTGTTAAATGTGAGGGTGCAAGTGCCGACTTATGCATCGAGCGTGGCCATCTTCGGCTCTTTCGCAATTTCCGCCATCGCACCAGGGCGCGTCTCGGAAAATGCCAGGCCGCCTAACTTCGGAAACTCACGGGATGGGCCGCGGGGTCGCGAGCTGCCTGTCGAACCGTGTGGCCACGACTGGGATTCTCACCAGGGTAGGCTACCGCGAGAAAGTCCTCCCGTTGGTCCCCAGACCCTTGCAAATCTTTCGTAGGATGCCCCCCCCCCACGTGTTGCAACCTCCAAGGCAAAGGGCAGATGCCTCACGACTGCCCTTCACCCAGACTACGGAGAAAGAGAGAAAGAGAGAGAGAGAGAGAGACCGAGGCGTCCCCTCAGCACGACACAAACGTGGCTGGACCTGCTTGATTCCTCCCCTTTAGTGCGCAAGAGGGTAGCTCTGGCCTGGCTCAAGATTCGTGCCCGCATCAATGAAGCCAACCCTAAGAGGAGATGGTTCAAAGTCAATGGCATTATATGGCATTATCAGAGGCACCAATCACGTTTTGCAGTCGGCCGGCTGGATGGGATCCGCCAGGCCCCCTGTGGCAACCTCTACTCGGTCACCGAGGGAGCCTGAGATGAGGACCTGGATTGGTCCATCATCCTCGGACGCGTCCGCAAAACCCGGCAGGTTGTCCTCTGCAAGGCCGCTGCGGAGTACCATAACAATAGAGGTCTAAGCGAAGGAGCCGACACCGCGGCCCTGTGCAGCAAGCTGAAGGCCCTCGAGCTCAAGCCGATCAGCTGCGGGGGGGCTTCTTTTTCTTTTGCAAAGTTGCCGCCTTGGCCCTCCTAGCCTCGCGGGTCTCTCCTGGCGGACAAGGGAAGACGATTCCTATGCATATATTTTTAAAGGGCCGGGGACCCCGGAAAAAGCCTCCCCCACCCCCCCTCTCTAACGAAATTGGCCCACCCCGGGCCTCTCGGGCAACCCTCCAGACGACCCAGGAGAACCCCACGAGAGCCCGAAGACGGCCCCAGAGGGCTCCAGGCGTTCCGGCGCGCTCCCGAAACGACCCCAGAGAGCCCCAAGACGGTCCACGACGACCCCAAAGAAGCCGCCGTACCCCCAAAGATCGCTCCATAACGCCCCAAGCGGCCTCCAAGAGCACTTCCTAGAAGGTCCCAACAGGCAAAATTCATTGATTTGTGCTGAAGGTTTTTGGTGAATTTTGGGGTTCTCTTTTCGGCTTTCCGACGCTCCAAGACGGCGGTCTTCTGGGCGTCCCAAGCCGCCTGGGAGGCTCGAAAATCGCCCCACAACCATCGGAAAGGGGGTCCAGGCAATTCAGGAGTCCAGGAGAGCCCCAAGACGGCACAACAGGGTTCAAGACGGCCTACGAGAGCCCCATGACAGCTCAAGATGGCCCCAAGACACCCTCCGAAGCATTCCAAATCGTGACCTGGTCGTTCAGGGAGACCGCGGTTGGAGGCAGGGTGACCCGAGGAAACCCCCAGAGGTCGCCAGAAGACACCCAGGAGGCCCCCAGAAGGCCATCATAAAACCTGAACAACTTTTGCGAGGCCCCCAGAGACCTTCCAAGGAGGACCCCCCGCAAAAAAAGCTGACGAGGATGGGGAGGATACGCAAAGCATGGCGAACATAAGGAAACATAAGCATGGAGGAAAAGTAACGAATCACATTATTATAACGACGATGCCGGAAAAGGCAACAAGGAGTTATCACTAAGTTGTTGGTTGCGCTTTCCTGCCATTCCGCCAGCATGCCAAATTTCAAGGACCAAGGTGCGTGACGCGCCAATACAGTCTTGTGTATGTGTGTGTGTGTGTGTGTGTGTGTGTTTGTGTGTGCGCGTGTGCGTCTGTGTCTGTGTGTGTTGTGTGTTTTGTGTGTGTGTGTGCGTGTGCGTGTGCGTGTGCGCGTGCGCGTGCGTGTGCGTGTGCGTGTGCGCGTGCGTGTGCGTGTGCGGGTGCGTGTGCGGGTGCGTGTGCGTGTGCGGTATGTATGTATGTATGTATGTATGTATGTATGTATGTATGTATGTATGTATGTATGTTTGCATGCATGCATGCATGCATGCATGCATGTATGTATGTATGTTTGGGCAGGCGGGGGGTTGGCTGAAGCCGACCAGAAAGGAGACTGGGCATCGCCTCTCTTTTCTTTTCTCTCTTTCTCTCTTTCTCTCTCTCTCTCTCTCTGTCGCTCTCTCTCTCTCTCTCTCTCTTCCCCTCTTTCTAGCCCCTCCCTAAGCCTGGGCCGCCCTCCCATCGGCCCCATGGCTCGCCAGACCCAGCCGGCAGGAACCTCCAGCCCGCCCGCTCCCAGCTGACACCACCGCCTATCTGGGGAGCGCTCTGCCGCCTCCCAGGCCGGGGGTCGCGGTGGGCAGGCGGCCGAGGTGCCGAGGTGGCCACGGGAGATGCGGCCAAGGGCCGATAGGGGTGCAACCCAGGGGGCCACTGACTAGCTCCTGCGAGTCTTATGCATGGCGCCCCCAAGTTTCAGGGTGGGAAAGAGGGCCGAAACAACTGCCATGCATCCGAGGACGGCCGACGATGATCGACCCGCAACCGTCCTTGCCCAAATATGTCGGTCAACGTTTACGCGTTTGTATAGGAGGGGCGCTCTAGACAAAGGGCTCCTACTCAGGGGCCATCCAGATTGACATTCTCACGGGCCCCTTTTCTGAAACGACGTCCTTGTCTAAGACAGGTTGACGACGCCACGGCCGTCTCGACGCAACGAGATGAGGGCCCCACTGCGGTTGAGGACCTCTCGGGTTCGCAGGCACGGGTGGAGCACGGCCATTACGACCGACGCGAAGGCCAGCTCTCTTGCAGCAAGGGCCCCGCCTGCGAAGCAGCACGCACGAACGGGGCCATGGGCGGCGCTCGGCTGGGAACTTCCAGGCGCCCCAGACATTTAGGAGGCGCCAGGCCCCGGGCGTGTGCCTCGTCGTCTTGGGGAGGTGCTGAGTGCCGCCGGGCGCGTCATTGGCCTGGCCCTTTGCGGCGCCTTGCGCCCAGAGAAATCCCACCAGCCCTTTGGGCGTGAGTGGTTTAGAGAGCCCGCTCTGTTCGCAACCCCCTTCTTCCCCTTCGGGGAAGGGTTTACCCCTACCCCCTCCCCCTGGGCCTGGAGAGGGCGCCCGCGGGTGGTTGGAGGAGACTTTTTCGACTCCTGGGAGGGCTAAAATTCGACACCCCTCACGAGGATCGTGGCCCCGACGGGGGGAGGCAGAAAAATGCTCCCCTCTTCTTTGAAGCCAAAATCATTGATTTTACTACGGTTTTGGCCCCATGTTGGCCTTCTGAGGGGGCAGCGCTCATTAAAGCTCCCCTCTTCTTTCATCGATTTCCTCCAAGATGGCCCCAAGAAGCGCCCAGGAGGCACCAAGAGGCCCCAAGATGGCCCCAAGAGGCCCCCAGGAGGCCCCCAAGAGGATCCCAAACAGCCCAAAGAGGCCCCCCCGAGGCACCCAAGACGCCGACAAGCCCATCAGGACGACCCTCTACTCGCCTGGGCGTCGTTTCTGGACGGGCTGGTGGGGATACGCGAAGCGTGATGAATTCAAGATGCTCTTGAAGGGTCAGTTCCATCTCATCCCAATCGACAGGCAAAGGCATGTGGGCGGCGGCGGCGTCCTCGGCAAACTGGCGAGCTGCTGTAAGATTCGCGCCAACGTCTTGGCGCCAATTCTAGCATCGCTCAACCTTCCTAAGCCGCCTCTGGCGGCGCGGCGATCAGAGGGCCCTGTGCGCTGAACCAACTTTCAAGCGTCACGGGGTATCGGCAGGGTTGCGGGGCGAGCTCGTGAAACCGAAGACAACCCGCGCACCCATGTCGCGGCCTGCCAGCTCACGCCCCCCAGGCTGAGCCCCAGAGCCTTGAAGCGCTGCATCAGGACGCCCGAGAACTCCGCGAGGCTGCCGCTCTCGAGGAGGTCGACGGACGTCGCGAGCGCCCGCAGCTCCCTGGCCACGGAGACTCGCAGACTGCGGGCGGGGCAGTGGTCGAAGATGGCGGCCACCAGGTACGACATCACCTTGGGGCGTGTTTCGCTGCCGCCCGCCCCCCCCCCCCGCAGGCCCATGATGCGCGCCATGTTCCTGATCGCCTCGTCGCGCAGCGCACCAGGACGCGACTCCGCCAACAGCCTGGCGCTGTTGCCGCGGGAGGGGGCGTCTTGAAAATGCGTCGAGCCCTCGACGTCATCCTCGCCACCGCCATCATCACTATCGGCCGAGGGGCTGCGACGTCGTCGGAGGCCACGCGCGGCAGTCGCGCCACTTGGCCCAGAGCGCCCCGCGGCCAAGGCCAGCTGGTGGGAGGCCGCCGCCACCGCGAGACGGCCATCAGCGCTCGCAGGGCCCGAGCCAGCGCCTCCACGGCCAGGACCGTCGCGCCCCCCACCGCCGAAGACAGATGGCCGCGCCCAGGGCTCGACCGCCGAGGCAGCCGGCTCGACCGCCGAGGCAGCCGAGCGGACCCGCAGCCAGTCCAGGTGCAAGGACACTCCGCCCAGGCTGCGGCCCCTCCGCGCAGCTCGCAGCCGCGCCTGAGCAGAGGTGGAGGAGCCTGCGCGGGCCCGCGCCGCGGGGCGGGAAGTGGGCGTCCAGCGTCAGGGCCCCCGCAGCCACCGACGCCCCACGGCACTGGGCCCTCAGGTAGAACCCAGCGGCGCCAGGCAGGCCCACGCCCTCCACCTCGAACAGGGCAGTGCCATATGATGTCCCCGTCGAGGGCGTGGGTCGGCACCTCGACGAGAATCCCCCGCTTCCATGCACACTCGACGAGACGCCCAGCCTGCGTCCAGGGCCCGTTGACCGAGCCGTCGAGAGTGGCCGCCGGCCCGACGCTCGGAGGGAGACCAGCCCGCGCGCCAGCGGGGCCCGAGCCCCACGGGCGAGGGGCCTGGCGACGGGGGCGCCACTAGGGGCGGGGCGACAGCCGAGCAACCTCCAGCGCCCAGCGCCGCGACCAGAGCTGCTCCAAGGCTGCCAGCGGCCCGAGCAGGGGCGCCTCCAACAGCAGCGAGCGGCGGCGGGGCCCCACCCTGCCCCGCGGGGCCGTGGAGCCCCGCGCCCAAGGGCAGAAACCCAGGCAGCGCGGGGGCGCCGCCCCCGCCCACGGCCGCAGGGGCGGCCGCGGCCGCCAACGCGGGAGCGGCTGCCACAGGGGGCGCGGGCACCGCAACAGCCGCGGCAGCCGCCGGCGCGGGGGCCCCCGCGGGCAACACTGGGGCCCCAGCAGCGCGAGGAACACAACGGCCAAGCCCGCGACCTGGGGATACACGGTCGCGCCCAGCTCCCCGACCAGCCAGGGCGAGGCCGCCGCGGCCGCCGCCGTGCAGGGCTCCGCCAGCGCCCCGACCCGCGGCCTTGGCCTCAGCCTCGGCCTTCGGCTTGGCCTTGGGCTTGGCCGTCGGGGCCATGCTGACCGTCGGTGAGCCCCGCCAGCGCGGCCACGAGCGCCACCAGCTCGCGCGCGCGGCCCGTCACGGCGGCCCGCTCGCCCGGGGTGAGCCGTGCCCCGTACGCGTGCTGGGTCGCGAGCGTCAGCAGGTAGCAGAGCTCGCAGGCCTCAGCGAGCCTGCCCTCGGTCGCGAGGGCGAGGCTGCCCTGTGGCCCCGGGCGGCCCAGGCACCAGTTGCAATGGCGCCAGACGGGGACCCGAGGGACGGCCCCAGGCCCGTCACGCGGGGGCCCGCCCCCCGCGGTCGCCGTGGGCGCACCGCCCAGCTGGCCCGCGGCCGCCTGCACCGCCGAGGTGTCGGCGCGCCAGCCCGCGCCCGCCAGGCTGCCCTCCCGCGAGCTCGCAGGGGGGGGCCGCAGCGCCCACAGCCGCCTCGCCCGCCGCGGGGCGCCAGGCGGCGGGGGCTCGGCCGCCAGCCAGCGGCCGGCGGGGGAAGCGGCCACTTCCCCGATAGCCCGCGGAAGGGTGGCCAAGCATCCCCTCCTGGAGGGCCCGAAAAGCCTCGATACCGAAACAGCTGCCATGCATCCGAAGACGGCCGACGATGATCGATCCGCAACCCTCCTTGCCCACACATATGCCGTACACGATTATATGCATGCATGGATGTAAATGTGTATGTATGCATGTCTGTATGCTTGTTTGTGTGCATGTATGTATATGTATATGCATGTATGTGTGTATGTATGCATGCATGCATACATGCATGTCTGTATGTTTGTATGTATGCGCGTTTGCATGTATGTATGTATGGCTACAGTCATGTGTGTATGTGTGCATGTGTATGCGTTATTGTAAATACGTGTGCATGTACGCATGTAAGTATGTTCGTAAGTCTGCATGTATGTATGTACGCAGGTATGAGTTGGATTGTCGTGTAGAGTACTGTATTGCACTGTATGTATGGATGGATGGCTGGATGTTTTGATGTATGCACGTATGCATTAAGGATGGAAACATGTATGTGTGTATGGCTGTATGTGTGGTTGTGTGCGCGCTTATATCTACGAATGCATGCATGTATGTGTTTAAGAATGAATGTATGTTTGTATGTGCGCACGCATGTATGCATGCATGAATGTATGGATGTATATATGTATGCATGTACACATGCATGCATGCATGTATGTATGTATGTATGTATGTATGTATGTATGTATGTATGTATGTATGTATGTATGTATGTATGTATGCCACACATATATTACTTTTGAAACACGGTGGGCCGCCGATGGCACAGGACCCTCGGCCTGCACATCCGCACGTGGGCAACCCCAATGCAAACGTAGCAGGGGAGTGCTGGCCACCCAGAGCTTTATTTTACGCCACTGCCTGGCGCGGGCCGCCTGGCCGGCCCTCCTCACCTGCACAACTGGCCCCGCCTCGTTCGCCCCCCCTCTCCGCCGCCGCCAGCGCCGCTCACGGCCGCCACCGCCCTTGACGCTCCTTCCGCCGCCGCCGCCGCCTCCCAGCCGAGTCCACCCCAGCCCCCCTCCTGCCTCGCCTACCCCTATCACCATTTGCCGCCGCCGCCGCCCCCATCCGCCACCCCCCCCACGCCGCTTCACCGCCGCCGCCGTCCCCGGCCAGATTCAGGGGGATGCAAGCCCATCCATCCTCCCGCGCGTTGCCGACCAGCCGACGTCGCGGCGCCTGGTCGCCACCTCCTCGTCCAGGCACGTCCTCTTCCTCGTCCTCCTCCTCTTCCTCCTCCTCTTCCTCCTCCCTCCTCCTCCTCCCTCTCCCTCCTCCTCCCTCCTCCTCCCTCCTCCTCCCTTTTCCCTCCTCCCTCCTCCCTCCTCCCTCCTCTCTCCTCCTCCCTCCTCCTCACTCCTCCCTCCTCCCTCCTCCCTCCTCCCTCCTCCCCCTCTGCCGTCGTCCCCGTCCTTTCCCCCCTCCGCCCCCCCCTCCGCCACACACCCGGCGGCGGACGCCTGCCGCACCGCCGCCGTCGACCTGCGCCCCTGTCGCGCCTGCCATGCGGCGGCGCGCGCGCGGCCGCCCGGCGCCCCCGCGCCAGGGGGGGGGGCGCCCGCCCCGCCCCCCTGACGGGGGCAAACGCTGGGGGGAGGGACTGGCGCGAGGAAGGGGGGCCCGAGTAGATGTAAGTCGGGCGTGTCCCCCTACAGGGGAAGTTTCGACGAAAGAGAAAACATACGCAACAAATGCTCCCAAGTGGCCAAAGCATGCTCAAAAACTAGTCCCCGGACTGTTCTTGGATTATTGCTTGATTATGTTTGGGGTATTTTCTGTTTTTCGTCGAAAATCCCCCTGTAGGGGGACACGCCCGACATAAGAGTAGATGGGGTCCTAGTAGATGGGGTCCGAGTAGATGGGGTCTAAGGATCGCGCCGCATCGGCGATACATCGGCGCCGTCGGCGGTGCATCGGCGACGTCGGCGTGGAGGAATCGAGCCCCGCACCGAGCCGCATCGCCGATGCATCGGCGATGCGGCGCGACCCTCCGACCCCATCCACTCGGACCCCATCTATGCCTACCTACCAGACCACCCCAACCCAACCCGAAGACCCGAATTTCGGGTTGGGGGGGTACGGGTTCCACATGTGTTTTTTCGATGTTCCCCGACCCCCCCCCCCCCCCACTGGAAATCGAGGGTAAAGTTGAGCCTTCGGGTTGGGTTGGGGTGGTTTGGTGGGTGGTGAATCTAGGAGGCCCGAAGAGGAAGGGAGGAAAAACGTCGCCCTGGAACCCGCGACACCTCGCCGACAGATCGGCGAGAGGAGCCCCCGAGGAGAATCCGCCAAGTGCCTGTCCGGGGGGTGCCCGCGGGCCCCTGCCGGTGATGCATGGGCGATGGGGGGTCGACGGATCCCCCTGCCCCGCACGAGGAGGAGGAGGGGGAGGAGGAGGAGGAGGAGGAGGAGGAGGAGGAGGAGGAGGAGGAGGAGGAGAGAGGAGGAGGAGAGGAGGAGGAGGAGAGGAGGAGGAGGAGGAGGAGGAGGAGGAGGAGGAGGAGGAGGAGGAGGAGGAGGAGGAGGAGGAGGAGGATGGGGAGCCTGTGCACCCCCTACAGCTGCCCCCGACCCCCGCGCGCCGACTGCGGGGACCCCGCCGGCGGCGCGCGCGACCGCGCGACCGCGCGCGAGGCGCCGCCGCGGACGCGCGGAGGTGCGGCGGCGGAGCGGGAAACGGGAGGGAAGCGGGCCGCGGACGGCGGCAGCGACGGAGCCGGCGCGGACGACGACGACGACGACGACGACGACGACGAAGACGACGACGACGACGACGACGACGAAGGCGACGACGACGACGGGACGCCGCGAAGGGATAACGGCCGTGGGTCGTCGGGCAAGAGGGGGGCCCCAAACGCGGCCGGAACCCCCCCTCTTGGCGACGACGGCAGGTTGGGAGGGTCGAGGCACAGGAGGAAGGGGAGGACGGCGGGGGGAAAGATTTGATTTTTCGATCCATTTCCCAAACTTTCTTAAGAATATTGGATCGAAGATCGAGGCTTGAAGAATTGGGACAGCTTCCATTCTTTTTTGAACTTCGTGGGGCTCTATCGTCGCCACGGCAAGACTTACCTCGAGATTGTGGCCGGAGCGCGCCCCAGAACAAATCTGGACGCCGTCGAATTGTGGTAAACCGCGGCTGGAAGCTTGTGTGTGTGAGTGAGCCTGTTTCGGGCAGTTTCCTTGCATGGCGTTCGCCCCCCCCCCCCCCCTCGCCCGTCTTCAGACGAATACTGGCGTGCTACTGCCTTTTCGACTTGCGTGATTTCCGCACGTGCAAGTCGCTTGCGGCTTACTTCAGGTTCAAGCCCCCCCCGTCCATGCAAGTAAACTACTGGAGTCTTAATAACAACAGGCTCAATGTTCTGCCCCTGGGGGGTGCTCCCTCACCAGGTCCCGGGGCCGGCATCGAGAACGACTCCTGACGAAAAAAACAGCCCAGGAAAAATGGTCCAGACCACAGGGGCCCACGTGAAAAATCACGGCGTCGGAGGCCTGGGAGAGGAAAAGGGGAGAAGGCGAAGGAGGTGGAGACGGGGGGGAAGGGAAATAGAAAGGAACAGAAGGAGGAAGAAGAAAAAGGAATGGGGAGGACGAGGAGCGGATCGGAGTGGCGCGGAGCTCTAGGGCAGGGTGCATAAGGCCGTTGTCTACCGTGTACAAATGAAAATACGTGGACGAAATATGTCAGGAACCAGCGCACGAAGACGGCAAGGAAGAATATGCGTATGAACTGGGAGAAGAAGAGGGCGCGGCTCAAGGTCTTCACGGACCAGACCAGGATCTAGTTGGTGCGGTCGGCGTCCTGGCTGCTACCCTTGATGGTCGCTGGCAATGTGTGATTTATGCTGGTGTTGATGTTGTGTTGCTGTCGGTGTTGGTGTCAGGTGGTTCTGGCTCTGGAGGGTCGGAGTGGTTACTAGTGCAGCCGGTCTGGATGAGTTTGCGCAACCAGCAACTGTGTGCAACGAATATGATCTCACGCGGGTCCCACCACGTCGTGTCCGTCGCGGC